TTAAATTTTATTATTGTGAAAACCCAGGGTTTAAGAACTTTAGAATGCCTCTGAATCACCTGGAGGATTTATTAAAATGCAGACTACTGGTCCCCACCCCTAGTCTCCGATCGGCAGGTCTGGGCTGGGCTTGAGAATTTGCATTTCTAACAAGTTCCCATTGATCCTGAGGCTGCTGGTCCAGGGACCACACTTTGGTCCACTGGGAAGGAGCCAGTCAGTGGAAGTTGGACTTCCTATTACTTGCAGCTGAAAAACATATTGTAACTGATTCGGGTGGTGTCTTCTGAGCTTTCACATCAAAAGGGAAAAAGAAATACAAGGAGGAAAGACGGGAGGCAAATTAGCTAAAACTGGAGTAAGTCAAAGAGGGGTCAATCCCTCATTTTATCCAGCAATCTCTCCAGTTAATAATCAGAGGAAAAGGTTTATCCAAAGCCATTCCATTGGGAGATCCAAGTACTGACTATTCCTTTGTAGACGCTTAGAGAAATAATTCATTTTCTCCCAAAAGCTTTAGATTTAAGAGAAATAGGGGACACCTATTAGACATCTGCCCATTGCCCTCTTTTCTAGAGGAGACATGTCTCTATCCTGTCTCCACCCACATGGTTACAGTATCCTGCACAGCATGTCCTCACCACCTCCCCCTGTTGACCCAGTGAATTGGTCCAGAGGAGACTGCTTGAAAAAAATAGCACCAATAAGTCTTACTCCAGGGAATCTGGACTTGGGACTGATAAATTATCTCTTTGGTGATTCTCAACGTGGTGGGATTTGAACTATGTAAAACGTGGGAAGCAGTTGGCAGCTATTTTGTGTCATATGGATTTGGAAACAGAACACCAACTTTAAGGAAAAGAGAAAAACACAGCAGAGGTGGAGAGAGAAAACCCCCACAGGTTTCAAGGGTGGGTTGCTGTACGGATCAAATGGGATCATGGCTATGAAAGCCCTACAGAAGGAAAACGAGCCTTAAAAATATTAATTATTTGGGAGGGGAAAAATTATTATAGTAAGAAGTCTCTAAAGGCATGAAAGGAGACATGTGACACAAGATAGCTGAATTAGCAAATAAAGAACTTAGACACAGAATGCCTTCTGAGAGAGAAGTTGGTGAGGATCACCACCTACTCTATGGGGTAATCATGTGTACAGACAGCATGCGGTAAGAGACGTCTGAAAATGTGTTTGTGGCTGGGAAGCCTTGGTAAAAACTCAAGCCCAGTCACAGTGGTCAGACTATCTTTTTGTGATTAACTGCAAAGAAAACAGCTCAAATCAACTGTGTTGACAGAGGAAGGCAGATCGAGCATGCTGTCAAAGAATCTGTTGGTGAGTTTGGAGTATTGCCCAGGATTCTGGGCCCTCTGGCTGGGGGACATTTAAAAATATTTAGTCTGCTTGGCAAGCCGATCCTTATAGTGGAGGACATGTAAGCTAGGCTCCCATGACTCAGGGACACTAGCCATCGGGGAACTTGGCTTTCTATGCCAACAAAGAACCTTCTGATATGGCTTCTCGGGTATATTTTCTTATTGGGAAAACAATGCACTGATCAGGAAACCCATATTGCTGGTTTGTTCAGCAGGTATATTTCTCATGGTAAAAAGTGAATTTCAAGGGGATTTATGCATCCATCTCCTATGTGTTTGTTACTTTGTCACAGTCCCAGAGAGCCTAGCTCTGGGTTATATTAGAGTTTCTGGACCTACAAAGGTGAAGGTCACAATTTCTTCCCTGAATCTACCAAATGATGACCAATTTACCAGCAAGTCAGCTGACCTTCCTCCATGTTATTTCTCAATTGTTTCTTTATACCATCTGTAATTACTATCACTACTATTCATCATATACATTTTATGTTTTCTCTTTCTCTGTCCTCTCTTACCTGTATTTTTCCCTTCCCTCCCCATGTTATTCCTGTGCTTTGATGTATACATGGCCTTCAGGACTCAAGGAGTTGCCCCAGTGATAGCAGAGCTTCACAGGCATGTTTACTGAACATCGAAGAAGATTCCTATCTTTATCTACAAATTTGGAAACTAAATATACATGTGTATAAACATATACATATTTTTATTTACCAATATAACAATCATTAATTTTCATCTTAACTCATAGTTATCCAAATATTGAAATTTATTATAATATTCTCATACTTCTAAGTCCATAAATACTACTCTCCATATAATCTGTTTATAAAACCAATATTCTAAAAACAGAAGAA